AGCCAAACAGTTAATTGCACGGCACAGTAAAGGCCCAACAAAATACTCGTAAAGCATCACAAAAATGTATTTTATTCCAGTCCTCCTCTCTTCTTGCTCTCCTTCTCCCTTTTCTCATCCCCTTCGGCTAAAGGGCTGCTTCCATTACCGCCCTTCACAAAAATATTTTGTTGCCAGTGGCAACAATTGAATAAAATTACCAATCACATCTGCTCTTTTAAATAGTTTCCAAATTACACAGAGTCCGCACAATGGTAGCGTCGTCTCATCTGCTCGTTTTCAAGCCAGGAATTTACGGCGGCGTTTTAAAATGTTTGTGAGGTTTGTTTTGACCAATGCAAGGGGAACCTCTGAATGAACGCAGAGCGGGCAAGGTGTGCACAGCCAGATCCAATGATATCAGAGGCTCTGATTGTGTCCCGGATTCCGCTCGTGCCCTCGGGGGACAATCAAAACCTGTGGTCAATGCATTCCGTGATGGCTATGCACGTCTCCGTCATCACCGCCGACCTGTTTACAGTAGCCTACCTCTCATTTCATGATAACAAGCCCGCAGCGGCTCTCGCCAGGCATTCACGCTCACAAATGAAGGGGGGGGAGGGTGAGCCACGGATTGTTTTGTTTGCAGCAAACCTTTCCCCCCCGCCCGACTAACTAACATAGTCATATTTTCCTACCGCGCAGTCTATAATCTCTTAGAAAGTCACCAGTCCTCATGCTGCCTCTCTGCTGCCTCTTCCTCCTCCACCCTGTTGCTCTTCTCACCCCCCGCCCGTCCCCGCACCTGTACCCGGGGATGTTCCCAGGCCTCCGTTGGACCACCTGCTGAGATCAGGAGATGACCCAGTTTCTGGGTCACCACTGTCACAGTCTAAATGCCACTCGGGGGGGGCTGACCTTTTCCAGCGGACGGTGCCAGAGTGGGCCGCCTCCATGCAGGTTGTCACCCCCTGTGGTGGCGTACGCTCTTTCCATTTCGCCAACAAACCTTGTTTCCCTACAAACTCCCCAATCTCCTCCTGTTTCATCCATGACAATACATATCTGAGCTACACCAATGAAAGATGACAAGCGAAAATAGACAATGTAAAATGGGGCTGATGACATCTTGGCTAAACTCAGGACAGTAACAGGCCGCAGACACACGTATCGGGTCTCACGGGAAGGAACTCCAAATACGCTTCCTGGTTTATTTGAAGGCGAGGGTTACACGACGAGCGCCACTGTTTTTACAAACGGGAGCTGGGCTCTAAATGGAATACCTCAATTAGCAAGACGCCCAGTCAACACCTGCCTTCTTAACATAGTGTGCCATCAAAGACGGCTACGTTTCAACCGCCGGGCTGTTCCCCTGGAGCAGAGAGGGACTTGAGTCGCTCACTTTTGGCCGTCAGGAGCGATTGTTGCAGGGTGTTCAGAGCTCTGAATTTAGTCGTTTTGTGTTTTCTTTTTTAAAGCTCTCGGCCGTGTCTCTGCTTGTCCTGCACTACCAGTGACTCACACTAAGCAACCCCCCCCCCCCTCCAACAACAACAACCCCACCCCTCTGAGTGGATCAATGTGTCAGAGTTGTTCAGTTTCCCTCAAACACACCATCTGCCCTCAATCCTGTCAATCTAACATCCACCGCGCTGCCATTTCAAATCCCGCAGAACATTTTTCTCACGATCCATTGTTTGTTTTTAAATAACAGCCTCTGGTTAGCAGGCCGAGATTCCTAAAAATAAATGAGAAATCTTTTGCGTATCCACTGCAGCTCAGGGCAGAATGACCGCTTTTTTCCCCCCCAGTGCCGTTATTCAAGCCCTCTTAAATAACTTAGATTTTTTCTTGAACTGGCTGCTCGGACTCTTCAAGAATAACTTTTATTTCTTTCCACCCTGTGCTGTCTCGCTGGCTTAGGGAGGCCAAGAGGATCACTACTAAATGCACCCTGCTGCCCGGGGCAGAAACAGGTCAGAGCTCTCTCCACATAAATAACACAGGAGCGTGGAGGAAGTCCGTTTGGTGGTCTGCTGGAGGGATAGAACCCACCCTTCAGTCCGTCTCTGGTTCTGTACTTCTTTCTCACTCGTGTCTCGGTGGTGTATGTAGCAGCTCGGCTGAAAAGGCATAAAACAGCAGGATCGGGATGAGATTGGGCCAAGATGTACATCTGAGTGGAAAGTGGACTTCCAATAGCCTGCGGGTCCAGACAGAGCGGACGCTGTGAACTGCATCAAACTGATCTGACACATGGGAGTCACTGATTTAGGAATTGTAACCAATAGTGGAAAACGGAATAAAAAGTGTAACTAAATAGTTTTGCATGTAGCTTCTTGGCAATATTGTAACAGAAATTATTTACAGTACGTCTTCAATTTCTTCTCCCACACCCAAAATACATGATCGTAATTCAAATATTTTCCTGAGGTTTTATTCTATATATTGAGTCTTGTTGTTACTGGATGCCTCTTGACTATCACATTTCTCCAAAACACTTGTGTTCCTCTCACCAGGAAACAACCTCTCCAAATTTGCCTTATTTGGAGAGCACTCGAGTGCCCCATTGTTGGGACAAGGACAATGAGTCTAAAAAGAGTCGGGACATGAGGGCAAAGAAAACACGAAATAAAGACGTCTGGCTTTCAAAAAATCATCAGATGGAAGTTTTTTTTCTATATTTACACCCACATCATGAAAATACTGTCAGCTGACGCCGATGTCGGCCCTCGACTTTGAAGTAAATTAAAAAAAAGAAAAAGAAGCTGTATTTAGTGCGCATTGTGTGCACAACCTAATTTATTGAAGTTGACCCTGGCTCCTCTTTTGTGCGACAGCCATCTTGGAAAACAATGGCAGGAAGGCTTGAAACTTGAGAGGAACTGAATTTGCTGTTTTCAATTTTTTTCCTGTTCTAACTCGATAGAGAATTTTCCCTCCCTGAGTAGAATATCTCTGTTTTCGTGTCCAACAGGAGCCATAAACTGATGCCTAAGCATTCCACGGCCAGGCAATAGGCCCTAGTTTAACTGGACACATGGGGACAGTTGTTTTGTACCACATGGACCGGGGGAGGGAGGGCGTGGGGGGGGAGGGGGGGAGGGTCCTGACAGAGGAAGCCATGGCCGCCCGGCGACCCCACAGTGACCCAGTGGCCTCCTCATGGAGGGATCAAGGCCTAGATGGGAGCCAGCTGAGGGTTAGAGGTTTAAGGGTAACAAATCAAGCAACACTTTAGTGGTATTTAACCCCCACATACCATATCTCTCTAACTGCGTGAGTGGTGCATGACTGTGCTGAACAAACATAGCAACACCTTTCTTTATTCTGTCCGGGGGAGTTTTCCTCAATAATGAGTGTGTCAGGATGGAGACGGATAACACTATTGTAAGACAAGTCGAACATAATTTCATTCATGTGTCACTATACCTTTCACCTGAGGTCTGCTTTGATTTGTCTCTCTGCAAGTGAGTGGTGGCGGACAGCTACAAAGTTCTGTGTGTCAATTTAAACATATTAACAGTTCTGCCGGCCTTCTCTGAGGTGGTGGTAGGTTCTACTCCCTTTCCCTTTCTTTCCTCTTATCGTTTTGTGTGCTATAAAGAAGAGGGCCGGACAGGGACCCCCTATAGGCAGTGCATATCTGCCTCTAAAAGCATCACTCACTTTTATGTTCACTTCTGGTCGCCCTGTGTTCCTTCCATTGGTATCTGCTCATAAAAGGCACTGAGGTAGTAAAGCAGAGCAACAGGCAACTGCTGGATGACCCACATCTTTACATGAAAATCAGGTACTTCTACTGTAGTATCGCTACTAAAATGAATGTGTATATAATAGATATAAATATTATGCTTTACGGTATAGCACTGTACAAGGATCAGTGCTTGAAATGTGGGATGGATACAAAATAATCCTTCACTCATGGGGGTGGGAGGGTAGCTTTTAGCGTACTAAAACCCATGTCACTGCTATAGCTTATTGAGGTAAAGGTAGAAGAGCAGAGTTTGATGATGATTTGCGGTTCGTTGGCAACTTTAACTTCAGCCTCGGGTTGAAAACGTCCCAGAACTCAGATGTTGTCTTTGGGAATTCTACGAAAACCAAGGATTAGATGTACGAAACACGAGCTACAGGACGACTGAAAGAGAGAGTGAAAGGTTTGACGCGGTCTACAAAGATGTGTGCGGCCGTGGATCTGAAGAAGCGCATTAGTCAGCGCACTAAACCAGATTGCGAGACGCTTTAGTGACCAGAAAAAGATCCTGGTTCCTGGCCCTGATCCAGCCCAGGCATTGCACTGACCCGATGCTGCCCTTCCAAGTTTAATGGATAGCTATGGTGCATATTTGGAGCGGCCCAGACTCCACGCTGAACTCACGGTCACGTCCGGCTCGTCTGAATTTGATCCCAGCCACCATTCGTCAAGTAACTGGGAGAAGGCATGACACAAGTGTAAACTTTCACATGTCGGACAATCCCCGTGTCCACGTCCTCTGTGGAGAAGGAATTATCTTAGAACACATCTGGGCAGATCTAACTGTGATGCTTCACTCCATTCCAAGTAGGAATTGCGAATGAATGCCATCAAAACTTCATCCAAAAGGACAAGGGGAGGGGCTTCCTATTACTGTTTTTGCAAACAACAAAGAATAATGGGTTACATTTACCAATACTATGCACTTTTAGACTGTACCATTCTATTTTATGTTGCTTGTTTATGGTGGTTTGAAGCAAGGTGTTTGCCGCAGTGTTGCTTCCTTTCTTCAGCTCCTTAACTGGTTCTAAGAAGTCAATTTAATCATTTTTAACCTTTGTTTGTGATATTGAAGGAGTCAGACAAACATTTTACTACACAATCAAACGACTATTATTTCCTTCCGACTGGCTATAAAACTGATTATATGACATATGAGTAAACGCACAAATGTACAAAACGTACACCTATGACACATGCAACGCTGTCTGGTTCTGACTTAAAAAGAATATCCATGAATAAAAGTCATAATAGTCACAACAAATTGATTATCAAAGAATAATTTTTATTTGTGAAGCAGAATTTTTTTTAAAAACATTCAACAGATGAATTGTCAAGTTCTTTTGATTGCAACACAGAAAAAAGTATGATTTGAAACACAAGGCAAACCAGCTGAGGAGAAAAACAACTGTTGTGTAACACCATTACAGTGTGGAATAGCGGACTAAAGCTTACTAAACCAAAATGTAGACAAGTACAGTTAATATAATACACACAAGAAGCAGGTAGAAAATATCGACAATTTTTGTGAAACCGTGTCTCAACCCACTGTGCACAAAAAAATAAAACCCTGGATTTTAAAAAGTAAAGCGAAGAGGTCACACTGAGGCCATGTTTAATCAGAAAGCGATCCTGTTTCCCCCCCCAGGAAAGTGACAGAGAGTGCACTGAGTGACGCAGGTGAGAGACAGGCTTCCACCCGGCCCTGGACCGCCTCTCTCTCTCTTATCTGCTCATGGAGTGGAGGAGGAAGGAGTGACAAAGGCCAGGGCTTTGGGTGTGATAAGGAAGGGCCTAATGTCCTGCTTTGGTCCTGGCTCTCACCCGGGCTGTCCGTTGCGAGAGGCCATCCAGGGGCCAGGAGCTGACCACCGCCGCCGCAGAGAAAGCCTCCGAGATGGTGTTTCTTTTCTTTTTTTTGCACACAGGTATGAATCTGACCCTGTGCTGTCAGCTCCACGGCTTGGTGGTGTGTGTTTACATGTGGCAGCTTTGGGGCAGTGAAAGAGAGGAAGGGAGAGACGGACGGAGGCAGAGGGTCAGGCGGAGTTCAGGGCAGATTTTCGTCTCACTCTGCAGGAAAGCCAAATTGCTTCCGGATCTAGGTACACACCCCTGCGCCTACCCTTCCCGCCTCCTTCCTTCCACCTCCAGTGTTTTTTTTTGTGTCGCTTTTCTCACTCTTTGTGTCTTTATTGTGGCTGGTGTGGCGGTCCGTTCTGCTGGGCGGCGTGGCACAGGACAATGTCTGCAGGGAAGCCGTCTTTGAGCAGGATCCCGCGGTCTCTTTGGCAGTCCAGCTCTTCTATGAAACCGTACCAGTAGATCACAAGGCCCGGGCCAAACCTGCAGCACAAAACAAAAGATGCAACCAACACTTTTTGTCAGTACGGAGAGTTCTGAAGGAGCTATGAATGAGTTTACATCTCTATTAAATTCACACCTGCACAATGCTTAAGACAGCTGATGTTAGATTAGAAGAAAACAAAAAAGCATGAATAAATAAGTAAAAGCAGAGAGATGGGACACAAGTAAGATTGATCTGTGAGAGATAAGGTCACTTGGGTTTTTTCCCCTTTGATCAGCATCCAGGAAACTTGTGTTGAATCAAATGGAAAAGCCGCCGGGAGGATTAAGATCTTTCTGACAGGGTGATACACACTTGATCACGTTACAATGGCAGTGAAATAACAATAATCTAAGAAATAACAAAGCTCTACACCAAGGCCTCCGGATCCTGTCGTCGGAAGCCTTTGGGACACAGCGGAGCACACAGAGTTCAACACAAAATTCTGAGACTTAAACAATCTGCGTCTGGCGGCTGATGTCAGCCAATCCAACAGAGTCCAGCTGTTTCATTCACAGTCACGTTGAAAGCCGAAGTAACTTTGCCTCAGTTGGCAAGTACCGCAATTCCTAAAAGCTATAAATAATGACTTGCCAAGACTCTTTAAAAATGAGAAGTTTTGCCTTTCTATGCTTTGTTCCCTCCCGCTCATCATTTTGCTGCTATTGCCCCTCAAAGACCGAGTAGCTACTGTACACCAGAAGGTCTGTGAAAAGGTGTAGAAACAATTAAAACAGAGCAGTTCTTCACCGGGAATGTGCAACTTTATTTCACTACAAGTCCATAAACCATCTCTCAAGCTATTTATTATGCCCCAAAGAGACACCAGTGGCCCCTCTCTGCCTCATAAAGATCCCACACATTTCTCTGGCATGCATAAAGACATGTCACAGTTGAGCTCTGGACGGAGAGCACCTCGGCTCGGAGACGCAACGCGGCTGACAATGCTCTGGTCCCAGACACACACAATGTCGCGGGGCCTCGGGAGAGCGAGACAGGAAGCTGGCCAAAGGGCCCGGAAAGCACCAGGAGTTCAGCTCCAAAGTAAAGTGCATAAAACCGAGAACTTGTGATCAATCATTTTGTAAAAAAAAAAAAGCACAGTCTTAATAACCCCGTCCGTGTTATTTTAATAATAATTACGTGAACCTTTTGTCCCTGATGTGCTTCATTCATGAGCTTATTATAAATACCTACATTTTTGACCCTTCAAAGTTCAACAAAGGTTTTCTAACCGCATAAATTATGAATGCGAGCGCATTCGAGTGAGTTTACGTGACGTCTCTCACGACTACGCATGTTTACGGCTGCCTGAGCCTCGGGGGGCGGCGCATGTTCTACATACAGCGCTTGTATGGAAACCGATGCATGCACAAGAGAAATATGTGACTGCGCGCACGCCCCCCCCCCCCGAAAGAGGCCCTTGCAGCAGTACATGCATCTGCACCCCGTCGCCGGATTCTACATTTTACGGCGGGTGATTTACGGCGCTGTATCTATCAGCGAACAGGCCAAAGCTAACAGCCCAGGAGAAAGCCCACAGATGCACGCCGAAAGTTCACCTCAGTGTCAGACACATAGCTCAGCCTCTCAGCACCGCACAAAGCTCGACCCGCCCCCCCCCACCCCAAACCATCGCCGTTTCCATGGCCCACTGCTGGACATGGCTGCCAACTCTTAATATGGAAATGTTATGGAAACAAAACCTAAACATTTACATTAGATGGCTTTGGAAAAGGGGTTGTGCTCCTCTGTTCGTTCGGTCGGCGTGCTGTATGTGTTTCCTGAGGTCTGGATGGGGAGGTGAGGCGGAAAAGGGGAGAACATGGAGAGATGGTCTGCGCAGAGTGGAGGGAGGCAACCTTCTGGAAAGGTTAAAACTGTACATCAACAGATAAGGCAGCGGTGGACTATACATCACGTCCCCGGTCTGTCACGGGAGGCAGAGCGCAAATTGAAGCAAGCAAAATTATAAACACAGGGGAGCCGTGTCACCAAGGCCTTTCCGTACCGTAAAGAAAATAAATGGACTTTGAATCCTATTCAGAATTAATACGAGTGAATACTACAGGGAGCTTAAGGTAAGAAATCAGAGACTGCGAATACAAGAATAACACTGAGGGGGACGGGAATGGTCACAGTACGAGAGGTAAAAAGTTTACAGACGGTCCACAGAACAATAAAAAAAATACTATATGATGCCCTATATTAACCTTTACAAATCTGTAGTGTGTAATAATGCCTGAGGAAGTGACAAGAAGTTCAGCTTTGAATTTGTAGGCAAATGGGGGTTTATGATGTGGGCTGACTCATCTTGACCTGCCGTGTGGTTCACACACCACCTCAAAGTCAGAGTCAGCCATCTTCCAATAAACACCTAACTATGTAACGAGTTGGTGAAACTGTTTGTGAAACGTAGCTAATTTCGGCGGGCTGGGGGAGACGGGGGGCATTTGACGAGCCTGGGCGTGGATTGCGGCTGCCAGCCACGCTTTCGTTAGTGTTAATGAGCGGGTGGTGGTCGCAATTAAAGCAGGTGCCAAGCAGTGCACTTCGGCGGCTTAATGAGAGCAAGGCAGTCAGGAACAAAAAACAACAAAAAAAGGACATGGAGCGGAGAAGGAGTGTTATTAGTGTCTGCCTGCGCGCACACAGCGAGTCAGGCAGCCAAGCCTCACAGATTTGGAATTAAATCTCTGCACACAGCACCAGTAAAAAGAAGTTAAAAAGAGAACCGCAAATCTAGTGAAAGAATACAGTAAAATAAAAAACTGTACCCTTCAAGTAATGTGCAAACTTGCTATATTGATTTTATTCATGCACCCATTTTTTTAATTTTTAATTTTAGAAGCCCGAGGTTGCTGGAGGTCACACAGCTCAACTCTTCGCTTAAAACCCCCCCAAAAAACCTTCAGTTTAACATTTCTACAGAACAAACAGATCAAGGCTAATTTGATCTGCCACATTGAGAAAAGTCTTTTCTAAAACTGGGGGTTGAGCACTTCTGCCAAAACACATTACGCGGCATGACTAATTATCAATAAAATAACAATAAATTTACGCCCGGACTTTAAAAACACGTCATTTCATTCCACAAACCGCACGGACCCATTTTAAACAAACGCCTCGGCAATGATTCAGACAGCATAAGCCTCTACCTGAGCATGAACCTGAGTCTCTGAGGTTCCCCCCACAAAGACCTCTTTGTTTTCAGCATCCACACATCAGGTCACAAGGTAGACCAACTAAAGCGCTGCCAAACATAGGCTTTAGTCTGTCTTTTCTCTGCTCCCTGAAATGCCGGTTCGGAAACCTGCTCCACCTCTTCTAGGGGCAGGAAGCATTGAGAGTTATCGGGGTGAGAGGTACGGCGGGATAAAAGCATCTGTGTCGGAGACAGAAGGACTATGTACATAGCGGGTGTATTGGTGACAAATGACCTTTCGTGGTCAGTCCACGCTGAAGGCAGCTGCCGATTGGAGTTTATTTACAGGGTCAGATGATGGTCGTGTGATGCGTTTGTACGGGTGGGGTTTCTTTGGGTGTGGGGGGGGGGGGGCATTGACCAAGGGCCTGCATGCCAGGTGATACGGCCAGCAGCTGATCACTGTACGTCCAGGCTGAGTGTCTTAACGGCCTCGTAGTAGCTGTTTGTAGGCCAGTCGGCCCGATGGTGAAGACGCCCTGATAACGCAAGCTTCACACAAATGGGATATTTAAAAAGGCAGGCTCTGCCTGCGGGGGCTGTCGACGAACAGGGAGGTAAATAATCACTTGCAACAAACTATACATCCTCCTCTCCATAAATAACAGGAGTTGAATGGGCGAATAAACCTCCCACAGACGAGTTATTAACGTGGAGTTAAGAAAGAAACGCCTTCTTTCCGCTCCCCACCGCCCCCTTTGTGTGGGCTGGGAAAAGTTAAATTCCACTCAGGTATGTAAAACACCAATACACGACGGCCGTAGCGTACAATCACGTGTTAAATGAGTGAGCCAAGCCAACGCAAGCATTGTAATTAAGGTGGAATAGAGGGCAATAAAAAATAAAACATCTTCCGCAAGGGGTAATTCTGCCCGACACTTTTATGTTGTCTGTCGATGGCGCATGGACAGAGAACGTGGTGCGGATGTGGTTTTATCACTCTGTGTGTGTGTGTGTGTGTGTGTGTGTGTGTGTGTGTGTGTGTGTGTGCGCGCGCGCGGGGGGGAGGGGTCAAGTCCAATGCTTTGTCAGGTAGCCATAGCAACTATATACTGTATGTATACATGCGTAAATGAAATAGAAACAAAATGGTATATGTTTTTTCATTCATTGTTTTATCAGGGTTTTTTTTATCTTCAGTGAGTTTGTGACATTTTAAGTAAGACTATGATGCGATATTTAAAAAATTTACCTCTGTATCACAGTGAACATTTTAACTTCAAATTCAACAAAATACATTTTTACGTTTCATATTTAAATGTTATGCCTAGTCTCAAATCCTAATATTGTAGGATTTACCAAAATACCATCGTGATCCACAACAATTCAAATAGTTTATTTTCTGAATGAAAAAATAATTCATTCTTAAATTGTATTGATAACTCCTAACGTCACAGCATTGTGGGACTGTGTAGTCTTAATGAACCCTTAAAGAATGATCACTTTCGCTGACCCCATGACCTCCTATCACCTTAGCCACCTTCTCACATGACCTGGATCCTTATCTTCTCTCTCTCACACACTCACACGTTATGTCAAGCTGTATCAGCTGATTGATAACACCGCTAACACGTGATTATTTTAATGAGCAAATGTCCTGATACGCGTCGGCCTCCTCGCGCCATTTGGTCCTGGTTAGCGGCCGTTTGCACGACATCCGGCTTCCCAAAACGGAACAACGAGAAGCGGCTCAACCGGTGTTTGGAACTCGCGCGGCCCCCTAAGCCGAGCACGTCGCCGACCGTATTAGCAACACATTTTTGAGGGGCAAGTGTGCGTCGTGTGTGTGTGTGC